CCAGGCTGCGTGCTTTCGAAAAGTGCAAAAGTAGTGACAATTCGGTATCCCCACACCCGCTTTCAAAAACGAATATCAGGTGGCTGCAGCAACTGCTGAGGCATTTCCCAGCTTAGCTAACCTGACATAGCTTACGCAAAATACTTCGAAACAGTAGCGAAGAGGTCTCAGGTGGAGGGATGTATCTAGATCCTGGCTGCCGCGCCGTTTATCAAAATTTGATATCCTCGAAGTCTGCGAAAAATGATAGGAACTCGTGAATAAAATTTATGTAATTTTCATTGACCTAAACAAGCTTGTAACGGAACACGCCGTTCCAAGCTACAGAAATTGCTGCAGAAATACCTGAGAGATGAACTACTACGGGAGGCCATCATATCTTTACATGACTGGCCAGCATCTGTCCGGATAGATGACAAGAGGACGATGCCTTACAAAACGCACATTAGTCTTCGCCAAAAATGCATGTGTCTTCTCTCATATTCATAATATTCAATAAGCGCATCGAAGGCAAAGAGAAGACCACAGATGGACAAGTTTGACCAGTCATCTACTGATGATCTCGTCTTATTCGCTTAGCTGAATGACGACTTCCAACATCCAATGGTTTGCTTCCCTGCAGTGAGTGACAAGAGAATCAGCTTGATAAAACCAATGTTTTTCTCACTCTCGCTAAGCGCTCAACACTGCTCTGCAGATACGTGGAGTGCAGAAGAAGCATGCAAAGAAGTTTACCTCGGCGTAACAAACACGAGTAACCGTGGGCACGACTTCGAAATAAATTCAGTCAAGATAGCGCGGTGCTGAGGGAGCTGAAATATTCTGTGGTTATGAGTGAGGAGCTGAATGTAGCACGAAGCTGTCGGATTTCAATTTTGTAGCTGCATCTACGCTTATACAGTACTGGATACTGAAAGTAAAAAAGATCGCGGATACAAGCGGCTAAAATGACGAACCAAGTCTAATCTCTGTGAATGACCCGACAAAATTCTTAACTGCCAGTTGGAGCAACCTTCAGCTGTAAGCCGCTTCGTATGTAGGTCAAAAGATCACAGTTGGGATGGTTTGGTCGTGATAAGGATGATTCTTCATACGCACTCTCTGAGTAAATCCCACGGGCAAGATACCACCATGAGAAAATCGCACACAAATCGTCCGATTATACAAAAGATCTCGCACTTTCGCGCCATGAAATAAAAATCACCGAGCCGTTTGTTCGGTAACGAACAAGAACCACTGTAACGACCTCCTAATACATTTGTTCCAGCGACTTTAAGAAACTATGGAGAATTCTAAATGAATTAATGGCACCTTGACCTGTATGTCGCAGAAAGTAGAAGAAAATATCGTTTTGACATTCTCCATCAGGAGACGGCGCATCAGTATTATGTACCTGATTTCGTTCGAACATAACTGTAGTCGAAGTCCCGAATTACCTTCATAACCTCATAACCGACCGCCGCAAAACTGCATTGAAGCTATCAACGTAGGTTCCTGCACACAATCATCTAGCATTTTCTGCAACTACTTCAAACGGCGTCCCGCAGTTGCTATGATGGCGACCCAAAGGTTTCGTAGACGAAACAAGTCGTCTGAGTTGACGCGTCGATTTTAGAACAACTCTATTCCGACTCAAGTGCTAAAAAGATGGTTATCTGGGGAGCCCCATGGTTGCGGATAGGGGAACAACATGAATGTATGAAAGTTACCTGCAATAAATAAACAGTCGCGGCAAGGCAACAGTGAGACCACCGCGGCGTGGATAGTTTAAAGTTCGACAAATTTGTTCCTAAGAGAAAAAACTACTATGGCAGTTTTTTGTCGAGGCGAAAGCGACCTGCCCTTTTGAAGAAAAACACTGACAATGTCACATCTGCCTTGCGGTTAGACTTTGATTCGTCAAAGCCAAGAACAAAAAACCTAGAAAACCGATGAACAACCAGAAGGAACTGGGGACTCGTCTCCATAAAAATCAGAATGTCACTGTCAGCTCTGCCAGCAGATGGCAACACCTAATACGCAATGACAACACAGTGTTGCGGCGGGCCCGATTCGATATACCAGCCCGTTCAGGTAATCTATGCTATCAGTCACCAGAGGTCATAGTTTGCTGGCGCAACCGTCATAAATTCGACCATCAGCAGATGATGATTATGGGCACCAGTTTAGCAAAGTAGTAACCTCTTTTCTTTTCTAAAGAGACCTTTGTCATTCAGAACCTGTGTCGATGCTGATTGATAACATCGAGTCTCCTGCCACCGAAACGACGGTAGTACTAGCTGCAATCGGAACGCAAAGTGCCACACAAAAAGTATCAAGGTAAAAACCCTAAGAGATTTGTCCAAAACTAATTTACGTGTAACATATGTGTCTCAGAAATATGCACAACCGACAAAGCTCAAATGAGAGTTTAAACCGGTATTAAACTTGCTTAAATACTTAAGATGCTAAAATTACCGCGGGTTCCGAACAAACAAATGCCGGATAAAGTCCTTCGCCAGTTCAGAGACGCCAGAGAAGTATTTAGGGTCAAACACGTATGAGACGGCAGAAATATTGCAGAAAGTTTCGTCACGAGTTTCACCCAGAAAAGGAGACGCGCCGCTGAGTCTAAATTCAGATCATCTGCATATCAGCAAGCAAAAACATTATAATAAAACCTGCATACAGTATGTAGGTGATGACTCCCACCGCCCACATGTCAGAGGCCATTGACAAGCCATCATAATTCACTACCTCAGGAGCTGAAAGAATATCATACAAGTGAACACTGCCAATCTGCCTGCTGTATACCACTTACCTACAAATTCCACTGTGCCCATCATGTCCTTTACTTTCACGCCGGGACAAATCTTGCGAGACAGCCCAAAATCGATTAGCTTAATCTTGGCGGACGTTTTGCTTTGAAGCATGATGTTTTCAGGCTGCAATGAAAACACGTAAAATCCGCAGCGAAAACCCGCTGAATTGAAAATTTGCCTATACCCACCTTCAGATCAAGATGAGCAATGAACATGGAGTGCATGTGCTTCAGACCAAGTAAGATTTGCCTGATGAATTCAGACGCTTCGTGTTCAAACAAACGCTTTCTTTCGCAAACATAATGAAACAGTTCCCCACCGAGCACCCTAAATATTTCGTTACCAGAAGCAATTATAAGCGCTACATGGTAATGCCAAATCCGTCTTTGTCGGTCTCAATCCCGAATGAGAATGCACGAACGTTGGGGACCGTGACAAGATCTCCAGCAAAATATACTGACCCGCATTTACGATACTGCAGTTATAGAACCTTATCGTGGCTCGGCAGTCGAACGGATTAAAAAGGGCCGCGCACGCTGTTGTGAAACTGAGAGAGGCTACGAAAAGCCGGCGATCAGAACCTACTTCTCGCCTTCTAGCAGCAAGTACTACAACGGGAGACGAAAATCGACAAAATGGTGACCAAAATACCAGACAGCAACGCAGCCGCCACCCATTCTGAACAGAAGAGGAAAATAATGCTATGCCACTACAGCATGTCAGATAAGGATCAATGGGTAAAATACCGAGAGTGAGAATTAACAGTCGGAAATAAGAACCCCATCCGGAAGGAAAGAGCAGGAGTCGCTTAACGATGCAATGCGCCAACTCAACTAAGCGAAAAGAGCATGGAATTCATAACCTCCGAGGTAGGTAGCTATTCTCTTCAGGTTTCGACATGAAGAAGCGCACTCAGGCCAATGTAGATGCTCCGGAAGAGCCCAGCTTGGCTGACAGAATCACAGAATGAAAGTCTGTCAGCAAAAGAGTGGGAATCCCCCGACTAAAGCTACAACAGGCTAAAGCTTTGAGTTTGCTACAGGTATATGTAACCAATTTGGAGGGAGAATATGACTCCTTCCCTGAGGAAATGGAGTGTGCAACGTAAGAAGTGCCGACTACGCAGATCTAATGGATGATTTTAATGCGCATGTCGAGGAAGACACTGAAAAGTGGAAAGGTGTGATCGGAAAGAACGGTCCTAGCGACCTCAAAAATAACAATGTGAAGTTCATGCGGATTTATGAAAACAACGGGCTGTCCATCACGAACACTTTCTTCGAGCATCGAAGAGTGCATCAGTAAACCTGGTACCGAAAAGTTTGCGCACAGAATTCGATGATCGACTTAGTTATCGTACCGTCTGACTTAAGAAGCTTAGTAGTGAATGTTCGCGTGAAGAGAGCCGCAGAGCTATCAACCGATTACCACCTTGCTGCTGGCACGCTACGCTACAAGAAATGGAGTACCATGCAAAGAACTGGTGGCAGAAGCAACCAGAAAATTAGATAGGAAACATTATCTTCGGTGGACACGAGAGCAAAATTTGCAAACGACCACACGACGGTTTGAACAGATCCCAGTGATGACAACTGATGTGGAAACCGAGTGACAGCTCTTTAACAGCGGCATACTCGAAGCTGCCGCCGAATGCTGCGGATATAAACGGGTTGGCCTGCCGCCTGAAGGTCAGAGACTTCTTGGTGGACAAGAGAGGTATAACTGGCAGTTAAAGAGAAGAAGGCTGCATTCAAAATAACGACTTGGAAGCAAAGAGCCTTCTACTCGCCTGCAATATGTCGAAGTCCGCAAGGCGGCAGCAAGAGCAGTGGTGAAAGCTGAAGCTAATTCCTGGTA